TTTTTTTTTTATAGAGATAGGTCTTGCTACATTGCCCAGGTTGGTCTTAAACTCCTGGGCTCAAATGATCCTCCAGCCTCAGTCTCTCAAAGTGCTGGGATTACAGATGTGAACTACTATACCCAGCCTTTGGAAGACTTTCCAAGAATGATAAGGGATTCGATTTTGGAAATGTAAAGCTAAGATACAGAGGAAAATTCCAACTCTACTTTCAGATAAAATTCTAATTTGGAGCTGGGCATAGTGGCTAACACCTGTAATCCCAGTGCTTTGGGAGGATGAGGTGGGAGGATAGCTTGAGACCAGGATTTCCAGACCAGTGGCCTGGTCAACGTAGAGAGACCCCGTCTCTACCAAAACTAAATAAATAAATACTAATTTTCTCTGCAATTGGAGATATGAGTGGAGTCTCAAGAACGTTCTGGCTATAGATTGTTGACATAAGAGTTCGGTAGCTAAATACATCTATGGTAGGCATAAGAAGAGCAAGTGGTGGAGAAAGTTGTAAAAACAGGAGGGAAGATTAACCTCTGGCCATTAGGGGATCACAGCTGGGCTTCAGACGATTCTTCAGTTCCTAGTGCTGGAGCTAGTGTCTGTAAACACGTTTTCCCCCTCCCTCCAGGCCTTCTACGTAGTTAGGACCTTTCAAGAACATTGCACATTGCCACAAGCACATAAAACACCACAGATTTAATTTCTCAGACTCTCCGCTGGCTGGCTTCTGAAACCAGTGTAAGAGCCGTCACCTGGGTTCATAGGCTTGTGACAAGGCGGGGAAACGCTTTGAAAAGCGCCTATCCCTAAACAAACGTGAGGTACAGGTACCGGCGCTCGCAACTTTTCTCCAGGAGACGTTCGCACCTGTGCAGCGCGTGGAGCCCAGATTATTTTCGTTGTTCTCCGTCCCCGCTCGCCTTCTGCCACGGACAGTTACAAACCTGGTCGATAATTATCCTGGGAGGACGCGACGTCCCAGCTAAGAACTCAGGTCAGAGATCGGAGAGGCAGAAGGATCTCGGGGAGGAGCAGGGGCCGGGCTTGACCTAAGAGCTGGCGGCGCCGCCGATTGGCGGAGGAGAAGGTTGTTCCCGCAGGGCGGCCGCTGATTGGCTGCGGGAGGCAGAGGCGTGACGTCTTCAGAAGTTGAGCAAACACCTCCTACTTCCCGGGCTCCCATCCCAATTTCGGCTGGGAATTCGGAGCCTACCCTGCAGCGGCTCGGAAGATCCGAGGCGGGGGCAGACCAGTCGGCGCCCCAGAGCGGACGAGGTGAGGAGGGGTCCTCGCGGAGGTTGAGCAGACGCGCGGGTGGGCTCAGCCTGTGAGATGCGCTGGGGATCGCGGCCCGGACTCGGGCTCTCGCTGGGAAGGGCCCGCGAGCTCGGCCCTCGGGTACCGGCGCCGCGAGGCTTCCCAGCAGGCTGGCGGGGCCGAGAGACTGAGGAGGCGGCGAGCTTTCGGGCCTCGCTGCAAGAAAGGGAGGGAGAGCGGAAACGCCGAGCGTGTCCCTGAGAGGAAGGGAGGGAGAGCTGTCAGCTCAGGTCCAGCGCTTCCAAGTAGAAAGGCAAGTGATTGCAAATCGGATTGCTTTTCTTTCTTTTTCGGCGGGTAGTGGTGGTGCAATGGCTGGGGAATAAAGAACTGGGGAAGCGGCGGAGAGACCGCCTTGTTCGTCTTTGGACCGCGTGCTCAGCGGGGATGCCTGGCTACGGAGGCGGTGGATGAATGGAGATTTCAGGGCGGTTCTTTCCCCTTTCCCTCCCAGCGCCCTGGGTAGCCAAACTCTGATCACAAACTTCTCTCCTTGTCCATCTGGGCTGCCCACTGTCCGAGACACAGACACGCTTAGGAAGCTGCTGTGCGCTGTCCATTCTGTAGCAAGGATCGCAGAGGGGTGGAAGTTGGGCGCCTTGCCTGTCTGGGTTTCCCGAGCTCCTGAGCCCTGCGGGGCCGTGCGGGCCTTAGTGAGGGCTCGCGCTGGAAGGGGCGCGTTGAGGAGCAGCTTACCCACCCTGCTCTCTTGAATGGGGCTGGATGTCTGTCCTGACAGCTTCAGAAGAAGAAATGCGCTTTCCAGACACCGATTTCAGGGAATTGGGGGTTGGGAGGAGCGGGAGAGAGAAAGCGCGCGCACAAGAGAGAGAATGAATTAGTTCAGTAACTTGAACGAGGATTAACATTTTTGGTGTTGTGGGTCATCAGTGGAGAAGGTGCAGCTGTGAGATGTAGTTATACCCAGGGCTGAATGGTCATTGACTGAAGCTGTGGCTTTCCAATACTTTATTTAAAAAAAACCCAAAACACTGATGGCACTTTGGTGTTTCTGGGTTTGTGTATTTTGTCCCTTGCATTCCCCTCTTCTTTTTTTCCTACAAAGATGAGTGAATCTAGGGCTACATGACTTGACTGTGTAACCTGGTGGCCATTCTGCAAAATGAGTTAGGTAGACAAAAATTGAAGCCAATTTAGCAGAGTCATTTTCCTACTTTCCAGATAATCATGTTTGTTATCAGTCTCACGTGCTATTGATGATGGCATGATCAGAACTTTGATTTATTTGTAATTGATTTTTTTTCTCACTAGTCCTTTAACAGACCTTGGTTCAGAATTTTGGAAATGATCTTTGGTGTGTAAAAAGCCCCCATCTAACAAAACGTTTCATGTTTTTCATATATTATTTTATTAATTTTTTCATAGAAATAACATTACAAATGGTGGTAAATTTTCTAGATAAGGCCACAAAAGAGTCTATGCAATTCATGAAATCATGGAAACAAACATTTGGAATGAGAAATAATCCCAAAACATTATTACCACGTTCATCTGATTTAAGGTGCCATCAATTGTAAGATACATCCCTATTTCACAGATGCTAAAATCTGAAAAAAAAGTCTTAAATTTGATGAAATACAACATTAAAATGGTAATTTATTTATCTTGAACATCCATGCCTAAAGTTTGAAGTTGAAGAAAGGGCTTATTGGGCTCTATGTTTTTTTCTAGAATAATATAAGGGTGGGCGGATTAATATGGAGCCATGGTGAAGGCCTATGGTGTGACAGAGGAAAGAAAAGAAATGTGTGTCTACTGTTAGTAGTGTGGTTGTGCTCACTTTTGAGGAGTAGGCAAGCTTGGGGGGCTTTTCTTTTCCTTAATATTTATTGTTTATGACACACAAGCAATGCTCAACACTTTATGCATATTAGCTCAATTAAATATCACAAGGGCCCTAAGAGGTAGATGTTAATATGACTCATTTTGCAGTTGATACACAGGCAGGTTAAGTTACCAACCAAGGTCACAGAGTAAGTTTGTCCGCAGAGGAACCCAGGAGAGAAACCAGTATTCCTTTGACGTATCTATCTTCTGTTGCAAGCTCTTGGCTTCTGGTTCATGCTGTTAATACAGATAACTTAGGTGAACGTCCATTCTTTCTTGATTGTGTTTTTGGTATTTTGTTTCCCTGTTTGGTGTATATTAGCTAGAAATTCGTAAGTCAGTGTGCCTATTTATGTGCTACATTTCTAGTGTTTTTGTAATTCAGTGTCCAGTCACTACTATACTTAATAGAATCAGCATATCAGAGCTGAAAGGGACTTTAGTATTATATTTTAGTCTGGGTAAGGAAACTGAAGTCAAGAGGAGGAATCCTACATCTAGTTATGTGTCCCAGCTCTCATATCTGGGTTTTCCCACCATACTGTACTATATTTCATAAGATTTGTTGATCTATGAGATCTTAGAAGGGAATTGAGCTTTTTATTTTTTTCAGGGTTGGGGCAATGTGAGTCTCTTCTTATTCATGTGTCCATTTTTGTTTATTTTCTTGCCACATAGATCTCTATAATGTTTATTAAATTTGCCCATTCATTTATTCTTTCTTAAAACACTTGCTGTTTTCCTATTTGCCAGTCATTGGGAATACAGAGATAAGTAAAACATAATTCATACATATTTACAGTTTAGCAAAGAAACAGACAACTAAGCAGATAAGCATTTTGGACTAGACTCCAATTTAGAGCTAACCTTGTATTCCATTTCAGTGAAGCTAAAATTATGAGCTAGAGACCAGGAGAAACATGTGTCATGTATTTGGATGCCTTTGAGTAGCTGAAAATTCTCAGACCAGATTAATTAATACTAATAGACCTCTTCCCCCAAAGTCTACGATTTTCTTCTTAGTCTGGTAATGTATTTTGTAAAGGGTTTAACATGGAAGCATTAAAAGAAATGTACCCACACACAGGAAGTGAAAGTATGGAGACCGGTGTTAATGCAAGCCCAAGCCTAGTTCTAGCAAGCCTTGAAATGGGGAGGGATTTGGATTAGTTATAGGTCATCACCCGGTGCTCTGTTAATTCTGGAACTCTTTGAACCTCTCCAAAAATATTATGTTTGGATACCAAGTATCAAGTGTAAGCTAAGAAGTATAGCCATAGAGCTACCCATGCTTATTTACAGACACCAGAGCTTCTTGGGAAACCATGGGTTTTTAAGATATACTTTTATATATTTTTTAATTACTTCAAAGGGTGAATATAAATAATTAGTGTTGTTCATCCATGAACTTATTTTCCTCATCTAAAGACTCTATTACCCCATTCTTAGTCTCTCAATAATTAATTGCAATATATGCCTGATTATTACAAATAATTTGGCATTGAGAAATCTCCCCATGTGATTTGATAGTTTTGATTTGAGTCACTAAATTATGTTGTAGTGAAATTATTTTAAAGATCTAAAATAGATGGATAAATAGCACATTCTTAACTATGGGGATTAAAGTTGGAACATCTGGCCTGAATTTCTTCCATCATGAATGTGTAACCCTTTATACATATCCCAATAGAAGTGACAGAAATTAAGAGGAGTAATGCTTAGTTCATTCTTATGCTCTTGTAATGCTTGTGCATTGTTTTGGGTAGGTAGGTGATCTGTAAGCTTAAAAAGTATTCTGATTAGATTGATCCTATGAAAAGGTTTGAAGAGACTTAGAACATTTTTGATATTTGATGGAAGAGTAAAAAGTCCTATGAAAATCTCAGCTCTCTTCATCTCCCCACTTCTCTTATAAAAACTGTAAAAATTAAATACACCTTTTTTGTTTGTTTTTTGAGACAGTCTCACTTTGTTGCTCAGGCTGGCGTATAGTGGCATGATCTTCACTTACTGCAAACTTTGCCTCCTGGGTTCAAGTGATTTTTGTGCCTCAGCCTCCCGAGTAGCTGGGATTACCAGCATGCGCCACCACTCCAGGCTAATTTTTGTATTTTTATTAGAGTTAGGGTTTTGCCATGTTGCCCAAGCTGGTCGCTAATTCCTGACCTCAGGTGATCTGCCTGCCTTGGCCTCCCAAAGTGCTGGCATTACAGGTGTGAGCCACCATGTCTGGCCAAATACACCATTTTATGGCATAAATACTGACTGAAAAGTGGCAGAGAAAAAAAATCTTAATCAAGTTACGTTTAAAAAGTTATACCAACAAGAACAACAGACTGTCTTATTATGACATCCATTATGATAAGTCATAATAAAAATATACGATAGAGGCTTGGAAAATGCTTTCTATAAAACGGAAAAAAGTCCCCTATTTCTATGGGTCTCACTATTCTCATTTGTAATACTGGGTTTTAGATTATATTCTATCAGTCCCCTTTTGACTCTAATATTTGGTTATAATCAGTACTTAATAATTCACCATCAGATATTGATCAGCAACATTTAATTAGATAAAACGAATTCTGAACATGGGCAGGGACTGGATTACTGCTTCTTTATAGCTTTACCAAGTGCATCATGCTGTGCATATCTTAAGTAGCCCCCAAATATTTTTTTAATTAAAGGAAGAGAATCAAAAGCACTCGTGCCATAATCAGTGTACAAAAGATTTTATTTTGATAACTCTATAAAGAGACTTTCTGGATTTCATTATAATTTAAATATTAGAAAATATTCATGCTATAAGCAAATGACTAGCTGCTTTTATTTTAATATATGTAATTGTACAAAAGGCCAGTCTGCTCACACTCTGAAAGGACCTTTCTAACCACACATGAGATTCTCTGCCATGAGAGTGGCTTTTCTTAAATATAATCTTTATAAGTACATTTTAAAGAATCTGCTTTGCTTTGGTTTCTCCATGTGATTTAGAACGATGGTGTACTCAGTGACCATAGGACAGCTCCTGGTCATTGAAAAAAAATGGTGGGGTGTGTATGGAGAGCCGAGCTTTGAGCTCTGTCTCTGTGTCTTTCTCTCTCTCTCTCTCTGTGTGTGTCATTTTCCTTCCATTTCTCTGGAAAATAATACAAAATACAAAGAACATTCAAGCATTCTCTTTCCTCTGATTCTCATGTTTTTGTTGCAAAATTAGGTATTTAGTAAATTAAAAGATTAAGTCTTGCTTCCTTGAGAAATGGAAAGATAAAATAGCATCATAGAGTATGTTCTCCTATTGCTACTGATCAGTCTTCACTATCATCTTCCTGTCTCAGTACACAGCAGTTCCTTCTTATCCAAGTTTTCCCTTTCCATGGTTTCAGTTACCCACTCTCAATCTGGTCTGAAAATAAGTGAATAAAGTACACTAAGATATTTTGAGAGAAAGAGAGACCACATTTACATAATTTTTATTACAGTATATTGTTGTAATTATTCTATTATTGTTGCTAATCTCTTACAGTGCTTAATTTATAAATTAAATTTTATCATAGGCATGTATATATAGGAAAAATCACAGCATATATAGGGTTTGGGGCTATCAGAGACTTCAAGCATCCACTGGGGGTCTTAGAATGTATTATCCACAGATAACCAGGGGCCACTGTATGTCTCTGCAATTCACTATAATGCTCCCATGACTTTTAGAGACATTTCAAATTCCTGATCAATCTTAGGTAAATAAAAGTGCACACCTTAGTGGTGTTCTGTTTTACAAAAACAGAGAAGAAATATTTTAAATTTCATTTTAATATCTGAAATGTTAACCTGTATGTATCAAAGGGAAGACTGTTGCAATTTGTCAGAGGAAGGGTCTTGTACCCCACTCTTGCCAGTGTGACATTCCTCTTTCTCTATTTTCCTTCCCTTTGTTCTTTCTAGCTTTTTATTTTCCCCCATTTCTGCCTCCTGCTTTTCTACATCCTCCTTGTTTGTGTTATGAGCTGCTATCAGCACCTGACAGTGTCAGGTAACCTCACTAGAGCCGGTGGTGAGTAAACCACGATCTTCCATCCTTGCTTCATTGAAGGCATTCCAGAAATATACATTGAATTTATTTCCTGATATTCTTGAAAAATACCACAAAATCCAGGACAAAAAGCCAAAGCAACCCCTGTTGGCATTTTCATGAAATACTAGACACCTGAAGTGCAATTTAGAAATTCTCACTATTTCCTATTTCTTGAAGACCTTAGAAGCAGATGAACTGTAGATCTTGAAAGTTCTATGCTGAGACCAAGTTTTAAGGTTCAAGCATTATCTAGCAGTTATACTATAATCAAACTTTTTTTTTTCTAAGCACACAGAAATCCAGAATTTACCTTGGCAGGTACTCAGAAATGATTTTCAGTATAAAGCCGAAAAAGCAGCAAGAGAGGCACCACATGCTGAGGGGAGAACAGATAATTCACTGTAACTATTGAAGTAAAAGCCGTGCGGATCTGATTTCTTTCTGAAACAAGAGTTGGCTGGAGTAACAGCATGGGTTGAATCTATGTAGTGTAAATGTGTAGGCTTTGGCAAAGAAGAGAAAATTCTAGACGTTAAACATTAAACTAGGAATCCTGCTTCTGCTTAAAAGCAACAGATGCTATCTGACTCCAGTTCAGTTTCTTCATCTGTCAAATGGGGATATGTATCTGCTTAATAAGATTTTTACAAGGAGGAAATAAAATGATGTCTGTAAAGTGATCAGCATAGAGCTTGGCATGTAATACTTCATCAATGGTAACTACTGTTACATTTGATTAACTAATGAAAGTTACAGAAATTATGATTTAAGTCTTCCATGCAAAAAGTGAAAGTGAAAGTAGCTTCTCAAAAGAATTGAAGCTCAGTCCCAGCCACTTCTTTCTTTTCCCCCAGTCCTCTGGGGTAGTTGGCCTTTGCAAGTATATATGTGTATGTTACAAGTGTCTGTCTATGTCTATGTCTGTGTCTGTGTCTGTGCCTGTATCTGTGTCTCCTGCTTTCCCGCCCCATCCCAGACAAAGGAGGTGGTGGGAGAAGGAGCAGGGATTGTCACTGAGGGAGGGATGAATGAGGTTAAAAATCAAGCTTGGGCTGGGGGAGGGATTACATTCTCTGACCATGTTCCTCCTGTTGGAGTCAAGAATTTTGATTCATAATAAAAGATACAGGGTTATGTAGTCACCTGTGAATTTATGAAACACAGCCCCTGCTGGGAAGATGGTATGATTTCTGGACATGTGTGTGTGTTTAAAGGAATCACTATCTTTGGAATCGGTTTTATTAGGAAATAAAGAACTCAAGTTCTATAGGACATTGTGCTTTTTCTTTTGGCTTCAAGAAAACTGAATGTTACGGGCTTGGGTTTGAGTTTAGTGCGATCTCTTTCAAACGTACATAAATAAACAAAAAAATTAGATGCAGTATATAAGTCTTTTACTGAAATGTTGGTAATCTGTTTTACATGCATATTTTGCCCTGAATAAAAGCCTGAACTCCTAATCATCAGCAGTTTCTTTTGCTGTGTGCAGCTTTCTTTCTTTTTGGACCTCTTCTTAAAGCCTTCTTAGCTGGACTCTTCACTCTTTGGTCTGTTCTCTGATTCTGTTGTAAAGTGTCCTATAAATTTACCATCTGGGCAGCAAGTAGTTGTTTGCCCCGAGGAAATGTAGTTGTATGTTTAATCGCTGGCTCAAGGCTTCCCCATCCATCAAGTTGGTCCTCTTCCAAGATTGCAGTCTGATGTAAAAGAAACGTGTTTCATGAAAGTTTTTCTATATATGTTAGCAGTGATGGGTAGGAAATTTCTAGAAGGTACAAAAATCAATCCTTATATTTTGCTGCCAACTTTACATGGAAAACTAAGTTTTAGCATTCAAATGATCCTGCAAATCATCATCTGAAATGACATTTGGCTCCAAAATGTGGTTAACCATTTGAAGATGGATAGAATACTGTTAACCCTGGATATTTATGCTTTAAAAATTTATCTAAGATTTATTCTGCATAGGAATAAATGAACTTGTATATAAATGAAACTGTATATAAAACTTCAGGAGCATCTGGGTGAAAATAAAATGTTTGCTAGTGTCACTTTAATTTCTAGAATTTGGTTAAAAGTATTATTTCCACCATATTTTACGATTCCTCCAGCTAAGGGATAAAAGAACTACTTTCAGTAGATGATATCATTCTCTCCTTCATGTGCAGCCCTGGTTCTGGGACTAGGGGGACAAGACAGTTCTTGTACCCAGAGAATGCTGCTTTGAGTAGGATTTATCCATGAGAATGTACCTTGCCTGCCAGTTTGAGAGAAGCCCATTACATTCATCATAGTAACCCTTTTGTAGCTATTTCTTGATTGACTGAATTAGTAGAATTATGCAGTCTTCTCACTCAAATAGCAGTTGGAAAACTGGTTGAGGCAGGCTGGGTTTTAATATAACAGGAGGAGGTGGTGGTATGGAGAGGAAACCCAGGAAGAGGAACTGGCATATTTAAAGTAACAAAGGGGAACAGTGAAGGTGAGGCTGGACTCTATGGTGGAAGCAGAGTGATTGAACACTGCTTCTTAAGATTCTAACACCTCTGGCGAAAAGAATAGCTTTGTTTGGTCGATTGGCTTTCTTAAATTTCGAATTTGTTGAGGACCAATAGTTTTGTAAAATCCAGTAACAATAAATTACTAGAAAAAATGATCTTGTGGCCTGACATGGTGGATCATCCCTGTAATCCCAGTAATTTGTCATAGAATTGAAAAAGAAATTAGCCAGGTGGGTGATGTATACCCATAGTTCTAGCTACTCAGGAGGCTGAGGGTGGAGGATCACTTGAGCCCAGGGTGCAGTGAGCAATGGTCTTACCACTTCATTTTAGCATTGACAGAATGAGACTTCATCTCTAAACATAAATGCATAAATAAAAATGCTTACTTTCTATTTATATACACATCTCATTGTAAACCAGTTTATAAAAAAAAAAACAGTTCACTGACTAACGCTAGGTTGTGGGGCACATTGAGAAGCACTTGTTTTGGGAATGATGAGAGATGAACTGGAAAGAGGTTGGCACTAAATTGTGAAGAACCTTGTATACCGTTAAAAGAATTTCAAACCTGATACCATCAAAGTTTGGACCAATCTGAAAGTCCTGCTCTTTATTATCTTCCTGGATCTAGATTGTAGATTAATTTGTCTAAAACTTTTGTGCTGAATAGATATTTGATAAAATATGTATTTAAAAAGCTATTTTAGCTTAGCAGTTATTGGTTAGTGTCACATATGTGCTCTATACTTTTCAAAATTTTATAGTTAAATAATCTTGTTTTTGAAACTTGGCTTTCTTTGGGTAAAGGAACACTTGATACCCCAGTTTTCCCTTCCCTTTTCTCTACCTTGAGTCTGTTTTCATAAGAGCGGGTTGTATTTTACCGCAGATTTCTCAGGAGACCAGAACTGATCTGCTAGCCCTGCTGCCTTTTGTTGCTCTTGTCTTTCTTTACATTGTCTTTACAGTCACCAGGTGTCAAGATGCTGCGAGTACATAAGACTGCACTGGGCAGGCTAGGGGTCAGCCTCTCCAGGCATCTTCATTACAAAGCTGTGTTGGCTGTCCGGAGGGAGGATGTGAACGCCTGGGAGAGAAGGGCTCCTCTAGCTCCCAAGCACATCAAAGGCATCACCAATCTGGGATACAAGGTCTTGATACAGCCTTCGAATCGACGGGCAATTCATGATAAAGTAAGTATTTCCAATGTTTAACATACAATATCCATTGTAAAGTGGGTCACAGACTTCATAACTCATTACTACTAAATGCTTCAGCGTGCATCTCCTCAGAATAAACCAGTTTTCTACATAGCCACCATATTATTTTCATACCTAAGAAATTAATAATTCATAATATCATCTCATATAGTCTATGTTTAAGTTCCCCATTTCCTCAAATGTCTTTTAATTGAGGTTTAATGAAGCTTTATTGCATTTTATTGTTGTGTGCCTTATAGTTCTTTCAATCTAGAACAGCACATGCCTTTCTGATTTTGTTTCAGTGATATTGACATTGACATGGGATCTTTTTGTTTTTTTTTTGTTTTTGAGACGGAGTCTTAGTCACCAGGCTGGAGTTCAGGGACTACAGGTGCATGCCATCACGCCTGGCTAATTTTTGTAGTTTTAGTAGAGATGGGGTTTCACCATGTTGGCCAGGATGGTCTCAATCTCTTGACCTCGTGACTCGCCCGCCTCAGCCTCCCAAAGTGCTGGGATTACAAGCGTGAGCCACCACACTTGGCCTCTTTTTTGTTTGTTTGTTTGTTTGAGAGAGTCTTGCTCTGTCACCAGGCTGGAGTGCAGTGGTGCAATCTTGGCTCACTGCAACCTCCACCTCCTGGGTTCAAGTGATTCTCCGGCCTCGGCCTCCCAAGCAGCTGGGACTACAGGCGCAAGCCACCACTCCTGGCTAAGTTTTATATTTTTAGTAGAGACAGGGTTTCACCGTGTTGGCCAGGATGGTCTCGATCTCCTGACCTTGTGCTCCGCCCACTTCGGCGTCCCCAAGTGCTGGGATTACAGGCGTAAGCCACCGCACCCGGCTGACGTAGACTCTTTTTAAAAGAGCCCAAGACATTTAGTGTCATGTCAAGCATTTTTGGCAGGAATATAACATAAGTGATACATGCTCTTCCCATTGCATCAAATCAAAGGCACAAAACATCAGGTTGTCCCATAGTTGGCAATGTGTAATCACTTGGTTGAGGTGGTTACAGTGAGAGCTCTTCATTGTTAAAGTTTATTTCACCCTTTGCAATTATTGAGTCATCTGTGAGATGGTATTTTAATATCTGTAATGTTCCTATTCCTGAATAACTTTACAACTACTCATATTAGCCCCCATTGAATCTTTGCCTGAATTAGTTCTTAATGGAAACTTGTGAAGTGATGCTTTTCTGATTTTATCACTCCCCTAAGTTTGTTTGCTGTCATTCTTCTTCAGAAAGAGGTTTTCTTTTATTTCTCTTCCACTCCTCTACTTTTTTGAGTTGTGAACAGTTTTATTACAGTATATTGAACTGTTTACCAAACTGTGAATTCTGTAATTCAGTGTTTAATTATGCTTCTTTAAAAAACCTTCTTACCTTTGCATTTAAAGCCTTATTGTGAGGAGTTTACATAGGCATCTTCATGTTGACAAGATGAGTCTTAGCATGTTGCTTAAAAGATGAGTTGTGAAGTGTTTTATCACAGTGAACTGAATTGTTTATCAGTGTGACGTTTCATTTGCTTCTTTAATTTTTGCTTTTTTTAGTATATTTTGGAATCATGAACCTTTTGCATTCAATCCATTTACCATTATCCTTTTTAATGTCTGAATTATCCCCAAATTGGTTAGTTCGAGTCCTTTCAAGGGACCTTTTCTGTCCTTTGGATATGAATCCATTTACCTTTGAGTTTTCCTATTTCGTAGAATAACAAATTGTCCTAGTCTCACCTTGTACCTTTACTGCCCCACATCAGGAAATTAATAATTTCACCAAGAAGCCTTGATCTCTTTTAGTATATAGAAACCAAGATCTGGTATGTGGTGTTAAGCATGTTTATTGTTATTGAGATACCGTTGCTCTTAGGCTCTTTTAGTGTACGGAGCTTAGAAATAAACACAAGCAAATGCCCACACAAATACGTATGTTAGTCAATCTTAAGTTAATACTGATACTAAAAAGACCTCCAGAGGAAAAAATAATGCCCAGGAAAATTAAAATTTAACATTGTGGAATTTTTTATCTTTAAAATTTTATATTTGCATCTGTTTTCTCCAACACTAAAAATCTTAATTCTTTAATATTAATGTATATTGTTTGCTTTATCCTGTAATATATATAAAATAGTGTCAGGATCACAATGCTATTATTACAACTAGCAGTAAGCCCACATTTTTCAAAGTAGAATATTTACAAATTCCAGAAATGAAGTCACATTTTCATTTTAAACCCCTACATCCAGTTCTCACCCACCCCAAAGGTTACTTTTGTTTCTGATCTATCATTCTTGTTTCCTTTTTTTTGCAAAAATTAACACTTGTGTGTGTATTTATGTATTTATTTCCCTTTTGTTCTTATACAGAAGGCTGTCTACTGTGTATGCTCTTTTGTACCTTTCTTTCTTTAGTTACAACGTATCTTGAACATTGCTCTTTGTAAGTTCTTAGAGCTATTTCATTTCATTTAAAGGCTGTGTGGTAAGTACTCCATTGTACAGTTCTTTGGTTTATTTGCCAATCTACTACAAATGAGAAAATGGACTGTTTTTTAAGAAACCAGGGAGAAATTGTATGTTCATCCTTTATCTCTCTTATTCATCTCTACTTTCTTTTGAAGTAGGTTCCTAACTAAATCTACCTGTGGTTGAACTGCTATCGTGGATGCTCTTTTAATTCTGCTTGGGTTATACTTCTTCATTTAAAAATCAGATATGGCTGTGTATTGCTTTCATGTACTAGTTATGCAGTCTCAATTAAATGTGTAAGCCTCAGGTTTTCCATTGATTGAATAAGGATTATAATTGTACTTACCTCATGAAAGTTGTATGAAATTTAAATGAGATAGTTCATGCAAAGAGCTTAACAAAGTACACAGTAATTTATTAATACATATCAATGATTATTGTTACTTATTATCCAATAAAGCTCATATTAGCCATGATGATATTCAACCTACATTTCCAAATCAATTTAGTCATATGCTGTAAATGTCTCTTTACTCCTCTTCCTTCATATTTTTATATGCCTTCAATGCCTCTTACTGATATTACCATCTTGTGTTTCCCATTTTCATTTCTCTAAATTTTAGGTAGCCATTCAGATTAATTTAAATTTTCGTATTTCTCTGGTTATCTTGCCATTCAGGTTAATTTAACTTTCTTATTTCTTTGATCATCCCACCTAGGAATTATCTCAATATCAGTTAAAGTAGCATATCACTTAGATGCTGATGATCATAATGGTTTGAATTTGTCATTTACTCCACTCCAGACTACTTTTTAACTATATTTTGTGAACTCCTTTATAGAAGGGATCTTGACAATATTTCGTTGTATCTTAGCATCTCATCTCTAGCACAGACTAGTGTACAGTTAGGATAGTAATAAATACGAACTGGGCCAAAACAATGAAAAATAAATGTTATAATTATGTCTTATCTTTTAAAAATACAACTAATAAGTCACAAATTGGCATTTACTATTTCAGTGTATTGTTGGTACAAAATATACATTTCACAAGTATGCTTAAGTCACATGTGCTAGTGGATATGACCAAATTATAAACTCTTCTTAAACATATGTGTATCCTGAGTTTTCTAATTGTTTTATGCTGTAAGTGTTGAACATAATATATTTATCTTTAACCAACAAGTACAAATATTACAAGTAGTTGTTCTGTTATTTGTTCTAATTCATACAGATTTTATTCCTTCAAAAGATTTGTTGTGCCTTAATTTGCTACACATTTTATTCAAGAAAACATGGATATTACAAATCAGAATATTAACCTTTCATCATAACTAAAATTTCAGGAATATGTCAAAGCCGGTGGCATTCTTCAGGAGGATATTTCTGAAGCTTGTCTAATTTTGGGAGTTAAAAGACCTCCAGAGGAAAAATTAATGTCCAGGAAGACTTATGCATTTTTCTCCCACACAATAAAAGCTCAGGAGGCCAATATGGGCTTGTTGGATGAGATTCTTGAAAAGGTAACTAGTGATTAATATTTATAAATATTAATGTAGAAAAATAGTATTTTTTAGTTTTAATAAGTGGAGGTTTAGTTTTCTTTCCTTCTTTAGTTTAAGAGGAACTAAACACTGCATTCCTTTTATATTCTGAAATGGAAAGAATGATAAAAGCTTTTCCCCTAAACAGTTTATCAATTTATAAGGCCAATTGGCCATATATTACCAAATAGAATTTTAGAGCTGAAAATAAACTCAGGGATCATATAATCTACTACCTTATTTTTCAGATGGGACCCAGAGAGGTAAAATGACTTGACTGGGTTGCACACTCTGTATGCCAGAAGTGGACTGTGGACAATTTTTACATTTATTCACATTCATAAGGAAAAATGCATTTTTGAGATGTAAATACTATGAAAAAAACTAGTAGCTCTTTAAAACACAGGGTATTCATTTAACAAATATTTACTCGGTGCTGATGATGTGTCTGATGCTGTTTGCTCTAATGAAAGAGCAAAAGAGTGACGTATTCTTATCTGCACAGAGCTTACGTTGTAGTGGGAGGAAACAGATAATAAATAAATAAGATCAATATGCCACTTGGCAATATGTGTGATGAGCATAAATATAATATTGAGGAAGAAAAGAAGTCCTGGGCACTGGAACATGAATATACTGTTTTAAATAGGATGGTTAGAGGGGGCCCCATTGTGAAAGTGGCATTGAGCAACAACCTGAAGGAGGCGAAGGACTGAGCCATACACATCTGAGATGAGTACTTTAAGCAGACAGAATAGTAACGCAAAGGCCTGAGGATCTTTTTAGAGTATGGGGTTAGAGTAGACCATGTTCAAAAATGCTTATTCTGTCTCGTGTCAGTAATGGTTGGAGGTGGGAGGGGGAGAGCAAAATTACTAAGAAGGCTGCTGACCTAGGCTGGTCTAGCCTGCAGCTCACAAGTGATGGTGGCCTGCACCTGGAAGTGGTAGTAATAGAAGTTGTGATGTGTGGACAAATCTTGGATGTGTTTTAGGGGTGGATCCTACAGGATTTACTGATGACATAAAGGTAGAATATGAGAAAAGGAGAGGAGTCAGGAATGACTCCAGGTTTTGGCCTGAGCTACTGAAAGCAATTGCCATGGAATGACGTGATGCTACTAAAAGAGAAAAAGGCTTGGGTAGGCAAATGGAGAGTTGGGTTTAGGGTCTGCCAGGTTTAATACTGTATTAGACATGTAAAGGGATAAGCCAGGTGGGCTGTTGGATATGAGTCTGAAGCTCAGGGGGGCATCTTCTCCTGACATACAGTTTGTAGTTGTCAGAGACTAGATGGTATCTAGAGTCGTGAGACTGGATGAACACAGGAAGGAAATACAGATAAAGAAGTCTAAGGTCCACAGCCTCAAGACATTTGAGCTAGAATCTGAGATTAGGGCAGAGGATTGGAGAAATCATAAACAGTAAAAGCAATGGGAAAACACATATTATAGAGGAGTATAAAATACTTTCCAATTAATTCCAAAGACAGTAGACATGGGTGACAGTTAATTTGTAGTGTTTCTAAAGAACAAGTTCAAAAGTAACTAATGGAAATAATACTATATGAAGAATGTTCCATCTTAAGCAGATAAGGTCTTTATTAAGTATTTTAGGAACATTTTTTGTTATTTTAACCTGTTCATTATAAGAAAATTAGCAAAAACCGACCTGGCAGGGCTGCTTTTGGGCAGCATTTTGTAACCAATGACTTGGAGTTGGATGAAGAATAAACATTCTTAAACTCATGAACATGATAAAATTATATGATCTTTGAGGAAATAAAATTACTGTTTAAAATACTATTTAATTACAATGCACTATGATGTTTTAAGCATGAATTACTAAGACTTTCCTGAGAGGGGAAAGGTTTTCAAGGAAAGAGGAAGAGAATGTGTTTTTAGTGAAGGCAAGGAAGAGAAATGCAGACATCATTACGGCTTTAAAGAGGAAGGTTACCTGTAAAAGGAGGCAGAGGGGGAAAAAAAGAGAGGAGGAGGAGAGAAAAATATTTGTGCTTGGACTTGAGAGAGAGTGTTATTATTTTCCAGGTAGTATAGACCTGAGTCTATTTAGAATGGTTGAGAAACAATGTAAAGAGGGAAGATGCGAAAAAGAGGTAACAACAGTTCAAGAAGAGTGATCTTGGAGGACATGAGAGAAGCTAGGATCTAGCTCAGAGATTCATCTCAAAAGGGATCTGTTTTCTTTGACCAGAAGGAAGGATGTAAGGATGAGTGGGGCTATAGATATGTTAGTAGATGGTGCTGGATGGGTGGGGGCAAAAAGGTAAGGGAAATTCCACCTTTATTATTTGATTACCTATCATCAAGGGGGTATAGCACCTGCTATGATCATTTTTTCATTTCCAGTTACAAAGCTACCATTGGTTTGCCACCTGGTGTTTTCTAAATATTTCATGGTATACCTCATGGTAACTTCTGGTAGCAAGTTAAGATATATTTCAGAGGAAAAAATGTGAAATACTTACTTGCTCATATTTATCTTTACTTGTTACAATTAAGCTTAATGGGTCCAGTTGGAAATTTTTTTATCCCCTTTTCAGGAAATTCGACTTATTGATTATGAGAAAATGGTGGATCATAGAGGAGTACGGGTTGTGGCATTTGGACAGTGGGCTGGTGTGGCAGGTAAGTACGCCAGCGCTTACATCACCCACTTTCTAAATTGGCTTGGGGAATAACTGTGAGTTTTCTCTTTTCTGTGGCAAGGATATAGGAGTGTTTATTTCCATGGAAATAAAATAAAAATGAAGGTATGCTGAAGGATGATGCATACAAGTGGAATAATGTATGAAGATAAATGGTTAAAAATATTTAATTGCAAAAATTCAAAAGAAAAAGCAGGGAGAAGGTTAACAACTACAAACAGGCTCTGATTTTTAGGTAGTTCCTTTTGAAAGGCTAGAAGGAGATGTCAGTTTGGTAATGAGACATTGGGAAGCAGAAGATAGGGAAAAAGAGAAAGGGAAGAAAGGTCCAGGTACAGGAATTTTGTCCAATTAACATTTTGGACCTTGTTTTGTCAAGAAACGCCACAATATGTTATAGCTCTGTTTCAGATCAGATTACCTGCAGGTCTAATAAGGGAAGTGATGACTTTGGCATTGTTTGACCTTGTTATTTAAAAGTAGAAAATTCCTTATTATGGTTTATGTCATTTTGCTTATTATTAATGTCATACTCAAATCCACCTGTTTCTTAAATAATAAAGAAATCTAAGCAAAAATTTAAAGATCATAAAATGCTTTCACTTAAAACCATTTAAGGCAGGGTATAGTAGCTCATGCCTGTAATCCCAGCACTTTGGGAGGCTGACGCAGGCTGATCATTTGAGGTCAGGAGTTTGAGACCAGCCTAGCCAATATGGTGAAACCCCATCTCTATTAAAACTACAAAAATTAGTTGTTGGTGGTGCACATCTGTAATCCCAGCTCCTCAGGAGGTTGAGGCACGAGAATTGCTTGAACCCAGGAGGCAGAGTTTGCAGTGAACCAAGATCAGGCCACTGCACTCCAGCTTGAATGACAGAGCAAAACTCCGTCTAAAAAAAATATCTTTTCTCACCCAACACACAAATCAGCTCTATTAGACTAACAGTGAATTAAATTTCTTAGTATAAAAGCAGTAGTAGAGAGACCTCTAATAACTAGGATTCCTAGGGCCTTTCAGGACTCATCCAGATGAGGGTTTTATTTACCTAGATAGAATTAATACATCAGAATTAAGCCGATTTATTTAGAAGTCACTATATTCAGAAATAGGACCACATCCATCAATAGGATGTGGTTCATGTTCTTAGAGAAGTATTCAGGCAAGTAAACACAAATAAAATGCTACTGCTAATTGCTATAAGAAAGGTATTTGAGGCCAGGCATTGTGGTTCACGCCTGTAATTCCAGCACTTTGGGAGGTCAATGCGGGTAGATCACCTGAGGTCCAGAATTCAAGACCAGACTGGCCACATGGTGAAATCCCATCTGTATTAAGAATACAAAAATTAGTTGGGTGTGGTGGCAGCTACCTGTAATCCCAGCTACTCGGGAGGCTGAGGCAGGAGAATTGCTTGAACTTACAAGGCAGAGGTTGCAGTAAGCCAAGATCATGCCATTGCACTCCAGCCTGGGAGACAGAGCAAGACTCCATTTCAAAAAGAAGAAGAAGAAGATAAAAGAAAGTTATTTGAACTTAGCTGTTGCAAACGCTTTCTTTTAAAAAGTGCCTTTGAAGCTGATATCTGAAGAATGATTAAAAACTATTCAAGGAAGTAGGGGAAGCAAAGCTCAAAGTGAAGAGGGGAAAAATAATAGTTTTATGGAATAGAAATAAGTTCGTAATTAAAGTGTATATGGAGAGAAGGATATGTGGTTCTTAGAAATATTTAGAAGGTAAAATTCACAGGATGTGGTGACTGATTGGATGCAGGGATGAGGGGGTGAGAGAGACACTTTAAAGATGACATCCAGGTTACCAACTTAGGCAGTGATTCAGTTCTTTCAGAACCCACAGAAATGGAAGAAGAATTTAGAGGAAGAGAGTAAATGAGTTCTGTATAGGACAATATGTTAGTAGATTACAAACTAAGTTGCTGTAATAGAGACCCCATAGAATAGAACTTACATAAGCTAGAAGTCCAGGGATGAGTAGTCTAGGGATGGTGGGATGAGGGGAAGGCTCTGCTATTGTCAACACTTGGCTTTCATTTCTAAGGTGACCCTTCAGGTTGCTCTTTTCCAGTCAGTGGAAAGGGGAGAAACGAAGTGGAGGCAAGCAGCTTCCTTTCTAAGGATGTGACACAGAATTTGAACATATTATTTCTGCTCATACCCATTGGTTTAAATTGATTGAGAAATGTAATCTATAACTGGGCAACTATGTCTGCTTCTAAAACCATGTGCTCTCCATCCATGAAGGATTGAGTTCAGACTTAATATCCTGTCATTATCCAACTAGAAAAATTGGATGAGATGTAGAAAACCATGTTATCAGACATTGGACAACAGGCACTACAGACTTGTGATCCCTGATAGATGGAAAATAGATGAGGTGAGCTCTATGTTCACTCTGGCTTTCTGTCTGGAGAAATTTCCAAAGGGTGTGAATATGAGAAAGTGACACAAAGCCTGGTGGACTCACTGAGCTGAGGAGATAGGAGTTGGGGAGCTGAGGTGGCTGGAATTGACAACACATAGTACCAAAGAGGGGGAAGCTATGCAGAAATAGGTGTTCTAGAAATATGCTTAGGGATCTTGCTGAGTGGAGGATGAAAATTCATGAGACTGGCTGAGGAACAATTTGAGAAAAAGAACAATGCTAGGGAACTCTATGGCAAACTGTTCCCAGAGTTTGTACCATCAGCCAGAGTGGAGAGATTTCACTGAATATATAAGGCTTTCAGGGAAGCCCTGATGTGTGTGGTTAAACCAGCTGACCAGCTGTTAATAAAGCCTGTTCTAAATTCACTCCTACAAAAGCTTAAAAATGAGCCTAACGTCTAATTTGAGAGAGATATAATTAGCAGACAAATAGATTAAAATAGCTATAATAAATGTTCAGTATATTCACGTTTTAAATGAAAACATAAACAAAATGAGGAGAGAAATAGAAGAAATCAGTCTATCAATCAAATAGACACGACAGAGGAAAATCTATACATAAGCAGAGGAGTAAAGAAGATATAGATTTTCTTCTGTAGTGTCTATTGATTTATAGATACATGATAGATAGATTTCTTCTACTCATTTTGTTTGTGTTTTCATTTAAACATTGAGCATATTGAGCAACATCTCTGTCATTTCTTGTTTCTGGATTTGTTTCTGTTGCTGAATATCTCCAAGTTAATGTTCCATTGCAAGACTCAATTTTTTACTAAATGCCAGACATAGTTTATTTTACATTGTTGATTATTAGATTTTGATGTTTTCCTTTCAGGACCATTGGGTTTTGTTCTAACAGGCAATTGTTTGTGGATTACATCGATTCTCTTAAGGCTTGTTTTCCTTTCACCTCCCTCTTTTCCTTCTGGGACTCCAAATACACACATATTAGACCATTTGATCACCACCTGTCACTTAAATTCTGTTTTTTTTCTCAGTCTTTTTTTCTTTTTATGCTTCATTTTGTTTAGTTTCTACTGCAATGAGGAAGGAAGAAAATATTTAAAGAAATAGTGACCAAAATGTTCCCATATTTTGATAAAAATTATAAATACACAGATAAGTTCAACAAACCCCAAGTCAAAAACAAATAAAAAAATCACAAAGAAAATGACACTAGAACCATCATAATTGTCTTGCTAAAAAACAATAAGAGAATTAAAAATAATGGCAAAAAGGAACAATATACATAGAATAACTAAGATAAACATCAAACTTCTAATCAGAAACAGTTTAAGCTAGCAGAAAATGGAACAACATCATTAACGTGCTGATAGAAAACAAACCAACCTATAATTTTATGTACAGTACAATATCTTTCCAAAGATGGTATCTTTTCAATACCTTTCTGGACACCTTTCTAGTAAGTGAAGATTAAATATAGATTTTCTGGTCAAATGAAAGCTAATACAATTCACTGCCATAGGAATATTTAGAAAATTTCTCAAGCAAAAGGAAAATGAAATCAGTTGAAAATATGGATTGAATTAAAGAAACAAAGAACATTACCAATGGTAGAATGTAAACAAATATAAAAATCATCATATCTTATTTTAAAACTTTTCTTTATGGCTGGGCACAGTGGCTCATGCCTGTAATCTCAGCACACTGGGAGGCCAGGGCAGGTGAACTGCTTGAGCTCAGGAGTTTGAGACCAGCCTGGGAAAAATGGTGAAGTCCCATCTCTACAAAAAAATGCAACATTAGCTGGGCTTAGTAGTGCATGCCTGGTATCCCAGCTGCTTGGGAGGCTGAGGATTGCTTGAGTCTGGGAGGTTGAGGCTGCAGTGAACTGTGTTCGTGCCACTGCATTCTAGCCTGGGTGACAAAGTGAGTTAACCATCTCCAAAAGAAAAATTCTTTAAAAAATAATTGATAGTTTCAAATGAAACAAGTATTATGATATTTATAACACAGGTAGAAATAAAACTTATGCAACCAATAACGATGAACAGGAGAAGAGGAATAGAAACGTAGTTTTGTAAGGTTCTTTTATTATGCCTGAAATGGTATGACATTACTTGATAGTTGACTATAATAAGATAAAGATGCATGTGTTAACCTAGAACAATCATTGAAAACAAGGTTCTAGAGCTAATAAGCCAATAATGGAACTAAAATTTCATACTAAGAAATACATAGTGCAAGCAAAAATACAAGAAAAAGTGCATAAAAAGGTACAAAGTATAAATAAAACAAGAACACAAACAGCAACATGGTAGCTTTAAATTTAGCTATATCAATATATATCATTAATGACCTAAAAACTCCAGGATGGCCTATACAACGAATCACAAAACAATTCTTGATAAACTTAAAAGTTTGAAATCATACAGTATGTATTCTAACTGTAATAAAATTGCCCTAGAAGTTTTTATAGAAAGATATTTGGAAAATTTCCACATATTTGGAAGATATTCAGTGTATTTTTGAATAACTGATGGGTTAAGAAGAAATCATAGGAAAATTAGAAGATATTTTTAATAGAAGAAAAATTTAAAGTATAGCTTATCAAAATGTGTGGGCTATAGATAAAGTAGTAATTAGAAGGAAATTTACAGCATTTAATTCTTTTATTAGAGAAGACAGTTTTAAAATTAGTAATTTGTGCTTCCACCATATGAAGCTAGAAAATTAAAGAAATAAACTCAAAAACAAGTAGAAAGAAATAAATAATAAAGATACCATTAAAATTAATGAAATCAAAACAGGAAAAGAATAGACAAAATCAATGAAACCAAAACCTGGTTCTCTGAAAAATATCAATAATTTTGATTAACATCTCTGAATAAAAAAAAGAGAGAAGACACTATTTACTAAGAAGGAGTACAAGGGGCCATCACTGTATCTTACAAATATTAAAAGGATAAAGGAATATTATGAATAGGTCAATAAATTTGGCAACCTTGATGAACTAGATAAATTTTCAAAAGGCACAAATTGCCAAAATCAGCTCAGGAAGAAATGAAAAACTTAAGTGTCAAGGTTCAAAATAAATTCCACTAATAGGCTTTTATTAAGAGAAATACCATATTTTATACAAATAATTTTTTATAGCAACTCCATTTATAATAGCGTGGAAACAACCTAAATGATCAGCAGAGGAATAAACTGAAATGGAAATGAAAAAACTCTTCAGCAATAAACAGAAACTAACTACTGATACACACAAAATATGTATGAACCTCAAAAACATTATGCTGAGTGAAAGCTGACACAATGTAAAAGAGTACAACTGACCGTTAAACAACACGAGTTTGAACTGCACGTGTCCACTTATATTCATGGAATGCAAAACCCGCCTTTATGGGGGGCCACTTTTTTTTATATAGGTGAGTGTCACAGGACTGACTGTGGGACTTGAGTATGCCCAGATTTTGACATATGCAGGGGTCTTAGAACCAACCCCCTGCATATACTGAGAGGTGACTGTTTAAAATTTCATTTATATGAAACTTTAGAAGAACCTAATTTATGCAGAAAGATCAGTAGTTGTGGAGACCAGAGGCTGATGAAATACTCTGCATCTTGATCATGGTAGTAATAACACAGATGTATGTATTTGTTAACAGTTACCAAACTATACAGTTTAAATGGGTGCATTTTGTTGTATATAAACTATTTCTTTATAAGTTGACTTTAGAAAAACAATAAAAGAAAATTTGGTAGGGATGCGTGTTGGGGGTGAGGAACATGGAAAGTTCTTTCATAAAAAGAATAAGGAATGAATGGATGCTGAGGTCTTTGCTACAGGCACAAGAAGGTGTCTGGCTAGGTTTTGAAATCAAAAGAAAAATCTGTTTTGGAGAAACAGATTTGAGGTCATCTGCATATAGATAGTACTTGAAATTTAGGACTAGATGAGATTACCTAAGCTCATCTAGGGACAAATGTAGATATGAAAGAGAATAGAGCCCAGGACAGAATCCTAAGGGTGAATAATATAAAAGTTGGCACAGGAAGAGGAACCTACAGAAAGGTAGGATAAAAAAAATTGAAGTTAGGATGCTGAGGGGCACTCTGTTTCCACAAAGAAGAGGTCCGCATTGCCAAGTACTTCTGACCTGATCTACAATGTATCCACTGAGTTTAGTTATTTAGGTCACTAAATAGATGATGGGAACCCTAGGGTTAATGGTGACTTATTTGTTCATTTGCTTTTAGTAGGGAGGCGTGGCAGCATGTTTAAATGCTGATAAGAATAAAGCAATAGGGAAGGACAGTGAAGGGATGGGATCTGGAGACAATGTGGAGAGATTAGCCTTAGATAAGAAGAGGAACATTCTTTCTATTTTATCAGGATTGAAGGTGGAAGGAATAGGTGGGGATGCATTTGGGTTAGTGCATTTGATGCCAGAAAGTTGAGAGGACGGAACAAATCTACTTAGGCCTCTTCCAAATCTGAGATGCTGTATTTGTGCTCTGCAGGGCACTATGCAGATTGGAGAATGGGCAGAGAGAACAGCTTAAATTCTTTCCAACTAATAGTCTTTCTATTGGTCTGATTCTGTAACAGGGATGATCGACATTTTACATGGAATGGGTTTAAGGCTCCTTGCTTTGGGACATCACACACCTTTTATGGTGAGAGATGTTTGTTTTGCTTATTTGTTTGGAAAACACATCTCACTCTTTAGGAATTAAAAAGAGCTGGTGGACTAACTTGAGATGCGTATGTTTGTTTTCAGCACATTGGCATGGCTCATAACTACAGGAATAGCAGTCAGGCTGTGCAAGCTGTCCGTGATGCTGGCTATGAAATATCTCTAGGTTTGATGCCTAAGTCAATAGGGCCCTTAACATTTGTGTTCACAGGAACTGGTAATGTTTCTAAGGTAAATTTTACCTGACTTCCTTCTGTAAACAATCCAACACTCTGAAACTAACCCTAATGATGTGGGCAGGCATTTTGTGGGTATTTCAAATGGACTGAATGAAATTTTGGTACTTTTCTTACCAACGTTTTTTTCTCATAGTGAAAAGTAGTAATGATCCAAATATGTGTATATGTGTATATGTACGTGTGTGTATATATGTGTGTGTGTGTGTGTGTGTATGTATATATGTGTGTGTATACACACATACATAGACACATGTAGTTTTTAGTTGATAGCTAGGTATCTGAGTCTTGGAATACTTTTTCTTTCTTTGTTTTTCTTTTTTTAAAAGAGATAATTCAGCTGGGTGCAGTGGCCCACACCTGTAATCCCAACACTTTGGGAGGCCAAGGCAGGTGGATCACCTGAGGTCAGGAGTTCGAGACCAGCCTGGCCAATATGGTAAAACCCCATCTCTACCAAAATTGCAAAAATTAGCCAGGCATGGTGGTGCACACCTGTAATCCCAGCTACTAAGGAGGCTGAGGCAGGAGAATCACTTGAACCTGGGAGGCGGAGGTTGCAGTGAGTCAAGATCACACCATTGCACTCCATCCTGGGTGACAGAGCGAGACTCCGTTTCAAAAAAATAAATAAATAAATAAATAAAAGAGATAATTCATTGTTAATAGCAAAAAGGTCTGTTCTGAGTGTGATCTGTTTTACCTTCATTACCAATATGTCCAAGAGTTTAAAAGTGACCTCATGATGTCCATTTTTCAAGACTACTCAGAGTTTTGCAAACAAGATATTAAGAAGATTCATTTATAAGACTGGAATTCATACTTTCTTCCTTCTCTGGTGGTTTTAAGAATATATTTGTAATCTCCTATAGAAACCTGTAATTGTAGAACAATTCCTTCTTCAAAGAAAATATTTTACAAAAAGAGTTATCATTATTCATATTATATTGTGAGGTAAGCATCCAATTATTTCCTTTGTAGAAAATATAGTTTTCCCATTTGAAATAATTTCTACAATGGATTTAAAATAAATGGAAATATTTTATTGTGCCCTCATTTCTAAATACTCTGATCAATTCTCTGAGTGACTTAAATAAAAAAGAAAAAACATTAAAGCCCCTTCTAATGTGTGCCGTTCAAATAGAAATAAAAGCTAGCTATCAGACTGCTTGCAAGCAGCTCATCTCTATTTCTACGTTGCAATTCTGGTTGTAGGGAAGGCAAGAGGAGCTATATAATTGTTGGAAAAATGATCTGAATCTTTGCAGAAAACCATGTTGGTTCTTTTTCTATTGATTTTTTTGATTTTTATTCACTTGTTATTTGTAGGGAGCCCAGGCAATCTTTAATGAGCTACCTTGTGAATATGTGGAACCCCATGAATTAAAAGAAGTTTCCCAAACTGGAGGTAAAGGACAGGGGATGACTAACTTTTAATGTTTTTAACAGTCTTTGTGTTATAATATTTTATCACCATAAATTTTTTTGTCACCCACTTTACTAATTTCTTTCTCCTTTGCAAGACCTCAGAAAAGTGTACGGGACTGTGTTAAGTCGCCATCATCATCTTGTCAGGAAAACAGATGGTGTGTATGATCCTGCAGAGTATGACAAACATCCTGAGCGCTACATAAGTCGTTTTAATACTGATGTGAGTATGGTATTCAGCTTTTAAGTTGGTTGCTTATGATACAGTGTAGGAAGGCTGTTTTCAAAAAGAGAAATTATGAATTGTACATTGGCTTTCAGTTTTCCTGTTGTAAGTTCTTTGGGTATCATGAGTTAGCCTTTGGAGCTGTTGTCTTTTAGGGGAATTTTAGTGCTTTTTATGGTTTCTGTGGACATACTCTTTGTTTGACTGTCTCCATTTCTGCCTCAGGTCTACATGTACCCAATAGCTCTAAGCCATTTCCTGTGGGTTACTGTTTTCTGTATTTATCCCGGACTAGTTAGCACTGTGAGCAGAGCACAGTGCATATGAGGTTTGGTCACAGGTCTCAAGATGGCCACAAATTACAACCATAATCTCAGCCAGCAATCTTGAAATGCATGCCATTGATTCAGGGGGTGAGGGTGACATAGTGTGCCTGTATAAGTGCAGACCATCCCCACTGTATGAAAAAGTTATTATACTTACAAATTAAATCCTTTGATGGGACACACTGGCCTTATCTTAAAATAAATAAAATATATTTGTGTGTTCTGTAGTCATTGGCCATGCAACAATCTTCCCCCAGATAAACTAACCAACCAAGAAATAAATTTTTAAAAAAGCATGCATTTATTGTGAAAAGGAATGCTTTAAATAATTTTAAATATGTTTGACCAATGTAGCATTTTTAGATTTTGGTAGGAAGTTTAGCCCTTATGTCATGCACATCATGTTAGAAGAATTTTTACCTTCAGTTTGAGATGTTTGAAGAAGAAAAATTATGAACATAGTTTCAAACTGAAAAATTTTGAATCTAGGAAATCTTTATTCCTTCTCATTTCTCCAGTCACAGAAGTATTGGTGATTGGATGCATCCTAAAACTGATAATGAGCTAGTTACCATGTATGCATGTGTGTAGCACATTTCTCCATGGAGCTTACAGATGTTATCTGATTTAATCTTCACAGCATTCCTTTGAGGAATGGGGTGTGTATTATCCCCATCTGGCAGGTAAGAAAAATAGAGCCCAGAGAAGTTGAGGGAGCATGATTTAGGTCATACCCTACAGGTAGTAGAGCTGGAAATAGAATTTTAGGTCCACTGTTTTGTGTGTGTGTGTTTTTTGTCCTTTTTCTTTGGCATGCAGTACATTATAGAATGAACATATTAATATATTTATGGTCATATATTTCCCTGTCATGGCGTAATTCTACACTGAAATCTGAGTGTAGAATTATTATTTTTACCTCAAAAGATGGACACCGACCTGGACAATAAGAAAATCAATTAGAAGTTATATTTAATTATTTCTCATAGACTTTACTGATAGCTCTCTTTTCAATATACTGTATTAAAATGGGTTATTTTCTATTTTCCTGAACCTGGAACTTGCATTACAGATTGCACCCTATACAACTTGCTTAATTAATGGAATCTACTGGGAACAAAACACTCCTCGCCTCCTAACTCGCCAAGATGCTCAGAGTCTCCTGGTTCCAGGCAAGTTCTCAGCTGCTGGTGTGGAAGGCTGCCCTGCACTACCACACAAGTAAGCACTCTACTTCAGCAACGACGGCAGTTTTTACCAGCTGCTTCCATTATTAGAGGATCAAAGAATGTGATGTCCCCTCATATCATAGGACTTGATTTCTAATGACTACGTCTGCCTTATCTTTCTTGACCTCTTGGCAGTACTCGACATTGTTAACCATCCCTCCTTCTTTTTTTAAAATTTTATGTATTTATTTTTAGAGATGGGGTCTTGTTTTGTTTCCCAGGCTGGTGTAAATCTCTAGGCCCTAAGCAGACCTCATGTTTTGGCCTCCCAAGGTGCTAGGATTACAGGCACGAGCCACCAGGCCCAGCCCATCCCCACTTCTTGAAACACTCTTCATTTGATTTCTGTGATGCTGCATGCAGCTCTGAAACCCTCTCCCCAGAGAAATCTTCTCTTGCATCTCCACTCCCATCTCTATCTCTAGTTTGTTACTCTTTTTTGTTTTGAAGTTTCTCATTTATTTTCTCGTGTTTATGATTTTTCTCCCTCTTCCTAGAACTTAATCTCCTTAAGTATCGGGGGTTTGTTTATCTTGGCCACAAGCACCTAGTGATGTATAATGGGCATTAAATAATTGTTAAATATTGAATGAATTAATTAATCAACAAATATTTGTGGAGGAGTAAAAGATATGTTTGCTTTTCTAGGCATGTAACTGGCATCCAGTAAATGCCAAGGGAATGCTAGGAGCAACAACATCACCGGGGTTTAGAAGAAAGCAGAAGCTGGGCTCAGCAAACCTTAAAGGGAAAAGTGAGGAGAACAAGAATTCCAAGTGAAAGGATTGGTGCTTAATAAATACGGAGGCAACAAAGCATATATAGGAAGCTAAATGTGACAGTCTAGCTCTACTGTGGTAATTGGAGATTGTGCAGAAAAATTGTAGTCAACCCTTTTGAATGCTGGACTGAGACTGTTGTTCATAATTCTAGAGGTTTCTGTGTAATCACATGTAAAACTATGCAATACTAAACAGGGTGGAGGTAGCATAGTTGAACTTTTCTGAGTTATTTAGAGATAGCTAACTAACTTTAGTCTATTAATGAGTTCCCTAGGAAAGTGATTTTCTGCTTTATTCTCTTTTCTTTCTTTTTTTCTTGTGGAGATTAAAAGTCATATTGGGAAGAGTTTCTGTATCACAGAACAGTGCAAAAGAATGAGATATAGAAAAAATGCCCAAGAGCCTGGAAAATATTTGGCATCCACATTGAAAATTGTTCCAAAGTCCTCTCATTTTTAGTCTTACTGGAGACTTCAGAATTCCATCCTCTCATCTAAGTATTGATGTTATTTTCAGACTTGTGGCAATATGTGACATTTCAGCTGACACAGGAGGGTCTATAGAGTTTATGACTGAGTGTACAACAATAGAGCGTCCTTTTTGCATGTATGATGCAGACCAGCATATTATTCATGACAGGTGAGTTTGCTAAAGTTGTTTTATGGTACTCATCACTTAGTTACATTGATGTACTACTATAAAATTCTCAATATTTTACGTTTTCATGAAGCTATGAAAATTTGGAGAGAAATAAACATACAAAAATTTGGTAAAAAATTGCAAATTTGAACACTTAAATATATATAGTATATATGTGTGTGTGTGTGTGTGTGTGTGTGTGTATATATAATATTTAAATGGGAGACAGGTTGCTGAAGAAGGAAAATGTTTTGTTTTAAACGTTTTGTTTATTTTCTCATATACTTTCATACAAAATTACAAATGATAATGAAGCAAATATAATGGAGTAGACATCGAGAAAGGTCAGAACTTACAAGTAATGTTTTGTGTTTCTAAATAAACAATATTGCTTGTCTTAGCGTTGAAGGCTCTGGGATCCTGATGTGTTCTATTGACAATTTGCCAGCACAGCTCCCAATTGAAGCCACGGAGTGCTTTGGAGACATGCTTTACCCTTATGTTGAAGAAATGGTAAGCAGACTGGTAATATCAGTAACAACTCTGTGGCTTTAAATTGAATAATGGAGTCATTCTGTGAATGTTCTGGTCTTCTAAGAAATCTGTTTTGAAATGAAATGCCAGCCCTTCCCTGAAATACTTACTGACACTATTTTATTTGACATATTCTGCTTACTGATGTCTTGGGGGATATGATAATATCACTGTCTTCATGCTTGATTACAATTACATCTCTCTCCCATTATAGGTATTTTATTAAGAACGCTCATGAGATAAAACATGCTTTATTTTTTATTCTTTGCTGTCTAGGTCAGTTCATGTTGCGAGACTCTTATTGTGCCATAATAACCAGATCTGGAAATTTTGAAATATAGAACATTTTATTGGGTTCTGGTCACTAATGGTTAGTTAAGTGACAGCTTATGTTGAGGTCATGTATTTTTCTTCTGTGATCAGTGATTAGCTAATGAAATACCATGTTATCTATATTCCATTTTCTTTACCCAAGAAAATTATTTTTTATTTCAGTTTTTATCCTAAGCATTCATAGCCATCCTGCTTTATTTTTATTCCAGACTGTCTGCCTCTGCCAATGATTCTAATATAAAGAATGGCTCTTGTTCTTTTCATCTGTATCTTCATTCATAAGCTCTCACACTATTAATAGAACAATAGTGGGGCAAGAATAAATGAAATTTTCAGTCTGTGATCATCTTTTCTTTCAAATAGTATTCCATTTGGACCTTTCTTTTTGCTATTGGAATATATCAACAAGGAGATGTAGCAGGTTTGAGAAAATGCAGGCAGCAGGCACTGTCACAGTTAGACATGATATTGCACCTACTATGTAAAGGAAGTGTTCAAAGTACTAAATATATTTTAATTTTAAGTACTCATGAGAACCATATTAGGTAAGTACCATCATTAAACCCATTTTACATATTATAAAACAAATACAGGGGAGTTAAGGATGAGAAGTGTTGCTTATGCAGTTAGTGCTGGATCGTCTTTGTGTCTGGAGTTGGTGCTGAGGGATTAAAGAAGCAGGGGAAAGAGAGTACAAATGCTAGACTTTTCTGGAGACATCAACTTGCTTTATGGCCTTGAGCAGGACACTCACTTCCTTTCTGACCCTTAGATATTTTATCAGTATCATGAGGTGCTTGTAATGAATACAGAATCTTAACAGTTTCTCCAGTTCTAAAATTCTGTAATAGTAAATGTTTAAGTGGCCAAACTGTATGTATATAAAAAATGCAGTAGTGTATTTACCAAGATGTTTGCCATTTTTGATACTCTTCATTCATTTCCCATTGGCATCATTTCCCTGCAGACTGAATAACATAATTTATCACTGCTTATAATACAGGTTTGCTAGTGACAGATTTTCTTAGTTGTCCTGTATCTGAAAATGACTTAATATTGTCTATTCTGCTAATCAGACTTTTCTGTGCATTTTTCATTTCTGACGTTTTATTTTCAGTTCTAAAATTTCCATTGGGTTTTTTTTAAAAAATTTTGTTTTGGTATTTTCTGTTTCTCTGCAGAGAGTTTCTATCTTTTCATTAGTTATGGGTGTTTTTTTTTTTTTTTAATACATGAAACATAGTTATAAAAACCATTTTACAATCTTAATCTCATACTTCCAACTTTCTGGGTCAACTTGGGGTTGAACTTTATTAATTCTCTTTTCCCTTGAGAATGGGTCATAGTCTTCTGGTTTTCATAAATGTAATAATTTTGGATTGTGGCCTGGATGATGTGGATATTATGTACATTTATCAAATGCATTTTCTGTATTCATTGAGAAGATTATTTTTTCCTTTGCTCTGTTAATATGTGAATTGTGTCAGTTGGTTTTCAAATATCAAACTAATTTCACATTCTTAAGATAAATCACACTTTGTTGTATGTTAATCTTTTATTCATGACTAGGTTCAGATTGCTAAGTAATATACCAAAATATATTAATTATTTTACCATTGGTAGACATTTGGGATTGTTTTCTTTTTGGGGCTTTTACTAATAATTCTACTATAAAGATTTTTTGACATGTCTTTCAGTGTGTATATATATATATATACATATACATTCAGATGGCAAGAGAAAGAAAGAAAGAGCATTCAAATAGGAAGAGAGGAAGTCAAATTATCCCTTTATGCAGATGACATGATTCTATATCTAGACAACTCCATAGTCTTAGCCCAAAAGCTCCTTAAGCTGATAATTTCAGCAAAATTTCAGGATACAAAATCAACATACAAAAATTATTAGCATTCCAATACACCAACAATCGTCATCTGAAATTTTATTTATTTGAGTCTTTTCTCCTTAGGCAGACTAGGGGTTGATTTTGTTTACCTTCTCAAACAAACTCTTCATTTCATTTATCTTTTGTATTTTTAAAGTCTCTATTTTGATTATGTCTTGTCAAACCATCATTATTTCTTTGTGTCTACTCATTTTGGGTTTAGTTTGTTCTTGTTTTTCTTGTTCCTTGAGGTGCAACATTAGGTTATTGAGATCTTTGTTCTTTTTTGAGATAAGCATTTAAACATTGCTATAAACTTCCTTCTGAGTACTGCTTTTGCTGTATCCCATAGGTTTTGGTATGTTGTGCTTTTATTTTCATTTGTCTCTAGAAATTTTTAATTTTCCCTTTTAATTTCTCTGTTAACTCATTAACTGATCAGGAGTATGTTGTTTAATTTGCATGTGTTTGTAGTTTCCAGTTTCTCTTGTTGTTGATTTCTAGTTTCATACCATTGTGATAGAAAACAATACTTTATATGATTTCAATGTTTTTGAATTTGTTAAGACTTATTCTGTGGCCTGCCATATAGCCTATTCTGGAGAATGTGCTATATGTATTAGAGAAGAATCCGTATTCTGGTGCTGCTGGATAAAAAGTTCTGTATTTATCTATTAGGTCTATTTTGTCTAAAGTGCAGATCAATTCCAGTATTTTCTTATTAATTTCTTTCTGGTTATCTTTCCATTTTTGAAAAAGGGGGGTATTGAAATCTCCTACTATTATTGTTTTGCTATTTTTACCTTTATGTTGATCAATATTTGCTCTATATGTTTAGGTGTTCAAATGTTGTGTGCACATGTATTTACAGTTGCTTTGTCTTCTTAATGACTTGAGCTCTTTAATAATGACTTCTTTGTCTCTTGTGAGAGTTTTTGAGTTTAACTCTTTTCTATCTGGAATAAGTATTGCCCCTGGCCTCTGTTGGCTATTATTTGATTTGCATGAAATACCTTCGTTCATCCCTTCTGAGGTATGAAAGCCTATGTGCATCCTTAGGGTGCAAGTGTGTCTCTTGTGGGCAGCGCATAGTTAGAGCTTATTTGTTTTCCTCCTTTCAACTTTTGTTTTAGGTTCAGTGGCTACATGTGCAGTTTTGTTACATGGGCAAATTGCATGTCACTGGGATTTGGAGTAAAAATAAATTCATCACTCAAGTAGTAAGCATATTACCCAATAGGTAGTTTTTCAATCCTCACCCTCCTCCCAGCCTGCACCCTCAAATACACGCTGGTTTCTATTCCCTTCTTTGTATCCATGTGTACTCAGTGTTTAGCTCTCACTTGTAATTGAGAACATATGGTATTTGGTTTTCTGTTTCTAAATTAATTTGCTTAGGATAATGGCCTTCAGCTGCATCCACATTGCTGCAAAGGACATGATTTCATTGCTTTGTTTGTTTGTTTGCTTTGCTGTTTTGTGAGAGAGTCTTGCTTTGTCACCCAGGCTGGAGTGTAGTGGCACCATCTCAGCTCACAAACCTCTGCCTCCTGGGTTCATGCAATTCTCTTGCCTCAGCTTCCCAAGTAGCTGTGATTATAGGTGCCTGCCACCATGCCTGGCTAATTTTTATATTTTTAATAGAGGCAGGGTTTCACCATGATGGCCAGGCAGGTCTTGAACTCCTAACTTCAGGTGATCTGATCACCTTGGCCTCTCAAATTGCTGGAATTACAGCTGTGAGCCACTGTGCCTGGCCTATTTCATTCTTTATTATGGCTACATAGTATTCCCTGGTATATATGTACCACACTTTCTTTATCCAATCTACCCCTGATGAGTATCTAGATTAGTTCCATATCTTCGCTATTGTGAATAGTAGAGCTTTGTTTTTTTAACCCATTCAGCCACTCTGTGTTTTAATTGGACAATTTCATCTTTTTTAAAAAAATTTATTTATTTTACTTTAGGTACATACTATATCTGGCATTTCTCCCCATGTCATCCCTCCCCACCCTCCCCTCCCTCCCCACATCCTGCTGTCTCTCCCCTACCCCCCCAACTGCCCCCGGTGTGCGATGCTCCTCTCCCTGAGTCTACTTGTTCTTGTTCAACACCCACCTATGAGTGAGAACATATGGTGTTTGGTTTTCTGTTCTTGTGTCAGTTTGCTGAGAATGATGGTTTCCAGATTCATCCAAGTCCCTACAAAGGACATGAACTCATCATTTTTTATGGCTGTGTAGTATTCCATGGTGTATATGTACCACATTTTCTTTGCCCAGTCTATCATTGATGGGCATTTGGGTTGGTTCCAGGTCTTTGCTATTGTACACATGGCTGCAATGAACATACGTGTTCATGTGTCTTTATAGTAGAATGATTTATAGTTCTTTGGGTATATACCCAGTGATGGGATTGCTGGGTCAAATGGAATTTCTATTTGTGGATCATTAGTAATTATTGATATGTTAAGGACTTAACTACTGCCATTTTGTTAATTGTTTTCTGATTGTTTTGTAGCTTATTTGTTTTTTCTTCCTCTCCTGTTTATCATTGTGATTTAGTGATTTCCTTTAGTGCTAAATTTTTGTTCTTTTATCTTTATCATTGTATATCTGCTTTAGTATTTTGCTTTGTGGTTACCACAAGGCTTACATAAAACATAGTTATAATAGACTACTTTATACTAATAACATCTTAAATTCAGTTGCATGCAAAAACTCTAGACTTCTACCCTCCTGCCAGCATGTGTGTATATATGCTTATAGCATATATATAATTTTATATTCATATGTACATATATATATTTCTTTTTTACCTTTCTGAATTGGGTGCAACCAGTTAATATTTTTTAATGTCACAATTTACATCTTTTTAAATTACTTATTTCTTAATACTTTATTGTAGCGATCATTATTTTTGACTGTTTTGAATTTTAACCTTCATCCTAGGGTTATGTATACATATAATTTGCAGAGTGCCATAGCAATATTGGGGTATTCTGGATTTGATTATATATCTACCTTTACCAGTTAATTTTGTACTTTTACATGTTTTCATATTAGTAATGTTCTTTTTTTCTACTTGAAAAACTTCCTTAAACATTTTTATAGAGCCGCTCTAGTAGTGAGGAATTCCCTAAACTTTTTCTTTTCTGGGAAAGACTTTATTTTTTCTTTTCTTCTGAAGGAGTGCTTTGCTGTGTATAACATTTTTGACTGACAGTTTTCTGTGCATTAGCACTTTGAAGAGATCATCCCATTCTCTCCTGGCCTGCAGGATTTCTACTGAGAAATCTGCTGATAGTCTAATGGAGATGCCCTTACATGTAACATGATATTTTTATCTTGCTACTTTTAATATACATTTGTCTTTCATTTTGACAGCTGATTATAATGTACCTCAGAGGAGACATCTTTGGGTTGACTGTTTGAAGATTGTTGAGCTTCATGTATCTGGATATTCATGTCTTCCAAGACTTGAAACATGTTATTTTTCATTTATCAAAAATTTATATTTATTTATTTTAAAGGTTTTTTGTTTTTTTAAAAAAATCTATATTGTTCTTTTATTTTTTGAACATATTAATCACAATTTAGACTTATTTTTGTGAAATCCAATACACTTCTTGGTTCTATTTATGTTCCCTGTTGTTTTCCTTGGTTTTTATGGTTTTCAGTAAATTCTTATTTTTCAATATATTTATTTATTTTTGGTTGAATACTAGACATTGCATATTCAAATGACAATTAGAGGATGTTATGTGATTTTCCTCCAGATAATATATTCTTTGTTTTGGGTAGGGAAATAGACAAGGATAAAGGTTAGGAGAAATTCATCTAAATTCAGTTAGGATGAAGTAATTGAAATCTAGGTTTCAGTTCTTTGGAGAACTGACCTTTTACAAATGACCATTTATTTTAGAATGTATTATGCTTTAGATACATGAAAGCAATTTTCTATTTATTTTAATACAATAAATAAATTCTGTTACCAGCACCTTCTAGGTACATTTTTCTTGTTCTTAGTTGGCTGAGTGAGCTAGATCTTAACCTATAGTTAGGGAGGAAAGATTGTCTCATTGGCCCTTCACTGTTCACCAGAAGCAGCAATGCTGATTTATATTCCCATTATTTCTTGACAGTATATTCAAGAATTGGGTCCCTTGAGAGGGAATAACTTATATGCCCATTACTTTTTGGCAGTGTATTCAAGAGTTGGATTCCTTGGGAGAAAAGAGGATGACTAGAAGGTTGCTGATATGTTAATATGAGACATCTTACTTTTTGTGTTGTCTCTTTGACTCAATTTTGCAAGATAATGTGAAGAGAGTGTGAATGACTTTCAAGGTCTACTTGGTCAAGTCACTTTGGCTACTACTGTTGAAATGCTGATGTGCCTATACATATAGCTACTAATACTGATTTGAGGGAGACCCCTTACTGCAGAAGTGGTGGCCTTGCTGAGTGGAAAAGCCTCATTCTTTACTCCTAATAGAACAGATTGAACTTGTGGAATCGGGCACAGGCCCTTGAAGGGAGGACTGTAGCTCTAAAGCTTGTGAAGATATTTGACAACATGCTTAATAGGATACATTTAACTGGTTGGAAAGGATAAGCTTTTTTGTGTTCACAGCAAGCAAAGATGATTATAATCCAATATTAGTTTTAAAATTGGAACTTGTGCTGAAACATCGCTCCTGAGGGCAGAGTTGATTGCTTGTAGAAGACTTCTATTACCAATCTCGGTGATACTTAGAAAACTATTTCTTAAATTATTTTTCCCCTGATTAATATTTTAATATGGATACAAGCACCAAGAGGCCTTCTTTGTGGTGTCATTTGTCTCTTATAAATCTCATTTTTCTTTCAGATATTATCAGATGCGACACAGCCTCTTGAAAGTCAAAATTTTTCTCCTGTGGTGAGAGATGTAAGTTACAAGAATATCTTTTTCATAAATGTATTTTTTCTACTACCATTTTTGCTCTCCTCTCTCTGTCTTTCTCCCTCTCTCCATCTTTGCCATTCTGTCTCTTCTCTGTCAGTCATGAGACCATGTTTGTAGGACTAAAATGTAAATACTAAAATGTCTTGTGTCATATACATTTAGGCAGTGATTACATCCAACGGTACATTACCTGATAAATATAAATATATCCAGAAACTCCGGGAAAGCAGGTAAGTATTGATCACATTCTCTTGTTTTATACATTTATTCTTATCTGGGAATTGATGAGTGTTTTTAATGCTTTAATCTGGGAATTGATGAGTGTTTTTAATGCTTTAATGAGAGTTCTTAATATTAAGTTTGTGCAATATATAAATTTTGATAATGTTTGAAAATGTAGGAAATCCAAACTAAGTGGCCGGCTGAAACCACTGTGGCTGTTTCCCCCTAAACAGTAGTATAGCATAATTTTGGCTTTCTAATATCCTATGTAGATGTGTGGGTAAGCAAGCAAAAATCCAAAAGGATTGCCCTTCAGGTAGCTTCTTGTTCTTTCTCCAGCTTTTATGCATGGTCATGCCTCGGTTATTTTTTCAAAAGGAAAATAAGCACACTAACCTTTCCGTGGTGCTTTCAGTTTGGGTTTCAGTTGAGGGTTTGGACTCTCTTTTGTTTAATATAATGTTTAGGAAAGTGAATTCGTGGTTACAAATTAAGAGAGTAGTGAATAAACAATTGATGAAAATAAGAGGTAGTTTTCTCCAGGGATTCTTATTAGGGGGAAGATGCCAAAAAGTAATGTAGCAAATCTACTCAAGAGAATAGTTACCTTAGAAAGGTCTTTAGCTAAGGCCCTTGTTTCCTTAATTGATTTTACTATTTAAAGTTTGAAAACGTTGATTTTATTTTTTTGGAATGTTCCAGTCTCCTCCAGCTGATTGTCCTTGATCTATGTTTATATCTACTCTGCTGGTCTATTCACGTTAAAAAAGGAACCCATTGAAGTCTCAGGAGAAACCAGAGTTAGGGAAACAAAACAACACAACACAATTGTCTTACTGTCTTTTTCAGTGGTTCTACCTACAAGCAGTAAACAAAGAGATCTGCCCAGATCAAGCCTACTATACTTAGGACTTTTCCATATGTGCTGGTGTGATTATAGTTACTTTTACTTTATTTTTTTAAAGTTTTTAATTTTTTTTGAGATAGAGTTTCACTCTTGTTGCCCAGGCTAAAGTGCAATGGCGTGGTCTTGGCTCACTGCAACTTCCAACTCCTGGGTTCAAGTGATTCTCCCACCTCAGCCTCCTAAGTAGCTGGGATTACAGGTGCCCACCACCACACCCAGCTAATTTTTATGTTTTTAGTAGAGACGGGGTTTCACTATGTTGGCCAGGCTGGCTGCAAACTCCTGACCCCAGGTGATCCACCCCCCATGGCCTCCCAAAGTGCTGGGATTACAGGCGTAAGCCACCACGCCTGATCGATTATAGTTACTTTTGAATGTGTCAGTGAAATATTCTGGCATCAAACACTAAGTATTTAATTGTTTTTTTTTTCTTTTTTAAGAGAAGCTAGCTCTATAACCCTATAGGAGAGTTTCTTACGGGTAAAACTTCATATGTTTGTTTTTCATAGCTCTGTTTTGATTCTCATTATCTGATGATCTTTTATATTACTGATACTAATGACATGTCCAACATGACTGATCGTGATGGTATCTTCTGTCTTATGTGTCATATTTCATGTAGCAGCAGGTTTACTTGGCTCCAGTTGCTAGGACTTGCTGCCCTCTTTCTCTGATGGAATCTTGTGCCAATATACTGATAGCAAAGGTTGCATTTTGAAAGCAAATTTACTGTGTATTGAACCCTGCCTTATTCTTCTGTTCTTTTCATTACTTAGCATAGTGATTATTAACCTGGAGTCTGGGGTCTGGGGATACTGATGGGCTGGACAGTATTAGAATCTAGAAGTGAGTGAGTGTTTTGAGTGTTTGGTATTTGGACATCAAAATATTGTTTTAATTATACAAATGATAGAAAATATTGTTAGACAGAATATATAATAACCAAATAATAGTGGCTCTCTTTGGTAGGTGAAATGGGAGAATGGTACTAGTTAAAGGAGACCTCTTCACATCAGTAGTATGTATGTTGGGGGTATAGAGGGACAGGATCTTTTATACTTATTTTTTTTAAATTTATTTAAAATTAATGAAAATGTTTGTGAGTTAACATTCGAGAGACATTAAAAGAGACTAAAGAGTCTAAATAACAGAGCGTACTTCAGTCCCAGGCACCAGACCTTTTACATAGTTTCGTGTTGATATCGGAGAATTTGATTCAAAAAATATTTAATGATTAAATTCCATATTTAAGACAAAGTGTGCTGAACATTAATGGGCTTGTAAAGATGGGTAAGTCTTAGATGCTGCCTTTGAGGTCATAGTTAGTGGGAAAGAAAGTCATCTGTCCAGAACATATTAATAAAAATCCAGCAGAATAAACTGTTCAAGAATTAAAATAATATCTAACACTAGTCTTTGGTTTCTATATTTAACCCATGACATTTGTGATTCAAAGTCATGGTTTTGACTATTTTCAAGTGACCCTAAAGATATGTGACAAAACAATGATGAATAATAATAATCCCTTCCTCAAAGTGTTGTCTTCTGGGATTGTGGTGAGGAATAAATACAGCTTCTAAGATAAAGCCCCTAGCATGATTTTGAATCACATCTTCTGGAAGGATAAAATATGAGACCAAGTTACTCAATCATAAGTAAGCCAAGAAAAGGTCCAGCATCTGTACTTTATTAGTAATACTGGGGATTCATGAAATACATGTATACATCTCTAGGTATACATCTCAGAGATGTCAAGTCTATTGCTCTTCATTGGACAAAATGTAAAATAATTAAAGAAATATGTTGGTATAGGGGACTCATTCATATTGAGATTCTTATTTTAAGTAATGTGGAGAGAAATTGTTGCTTCATTATCTAGGTTTTAGTATGGTTAGAGGACAGCAAGATTACGTTGTTTAAAAACAATAAAATTTTAATTAGTCCCTTCTCTTCTTTTTACTTTATTTTATTTTAACAGAGAACGTGCTCAGTCACTTTCGATGGGCACCAGGAAAAAGGTTTTGGTTCTTGGATCTGGCTATGTATCTGAGCCCGTACTAGAATATTTATCAAGAGATGACAATATAGAAATAACAGTAGGTAAATATGCCCTAGTTTTTGAAGAAGAAAAATATATTTTATAACATGTTGATTTCTAAATTTTAGAAGACTACTTAGCTTCTAAAATTTGAAAGTTTATTTTTGGAGATGTTAAAATATATTTTACTTTGACATATCTAAAAATGTGACTTTTATTTCTTGAAATAGGCTCTGACATGAGGAATCAAATTGAACAGTTAAGGAAGAAATATAATATCAATCCTGTTAGCATAGACATTTGTAAACAAGAAGAGAAGCTGGGCTTCTTGGTGGAAAAACAGGATCTTGTTATCAGGTCAGTATCTGGCAAGAAATGAGTTTCATTTTTTGTTGTTATTTCTTTTCTCTTACTTTTCTCTTACTTTTTCTTTTCTCCTCTCTTCATACTCTTTGTGAGTAAACTTTTTAATTGAAGTATGGATCCAGAAGGTGCACAAATCATAAGTATATAGCTCAATGAACTTTCACAAAGTGAATACACTCTGTGACGATCCTTCATATCAAGAAGCAGAATATTAATAATTCCCCAGAAGCCCTCCTGGTGCCTCACTTAACCCATCCTCTAAGGGTAAACACTATCCTGGTTTCTGACATATAGTTTTGCCTGCTTTCAAACTTCATATAATTGGAATCATTCAATGTGTCCTCATTCGTGGCTGCCTTCTTCCATTCAATGTTGTGATTATGAGAGTCATTTATGCTATTGTCTGAAATGATAGTTTATTCATTCTCATTGCAGTGTAGTATTTCATTATGTGAATATACCATTATTACTTATTTGACTACTATGGATATTTAGGTTGTTTCTGGAGTTTGGCTATTATAAGTCACACTGCTATACACATTTCAGTATTTGACTTTTGGTGACCATTTCGCCAAACAGTAATTACACATTTCTGTTGGATATATCCTTAGAAGTGGGTTTGCAGGTCATAAGGTATTCATATTTCATATACTTTAGTGTCTGCTTTATCCTTTGGACTTATAAAACTAAAATGAAAAAGTAGATTATTTAGCCTTACTACCATTTTAAGTCTCATGATATCAACGAATCTTGAAATAGGGTATAACTAACAAAAATGCAGATCTAACATCTAGATACAGAGTTACATGAGATTTACTGGATAACTAAATTTGGTTTTGACATGAGTACATATGAACACAAAGAAAGGAACAGCAGACATCAGGGCCTGCCTGAGGGTAAAATGTGGGAGGAGGGTGAGGATCAAAAAACTACCTGTCAGGTACTATGCTTATTACCTAGATAATGAAATAATCTGTGCGCCATACTCCCATGACATACAGTTTACCTATATAACAAGACTGCACATGTATCCCTGAACCTTAAAGTAGTTAATAAATAAATAAACACATTTGGTTTTGAGATGTCAAAGTGATGAGAATAGTCATTAATTCTTAGAATATAATTTCTCCAGATGAAAGGAAGAAAGTTATCTGTTTTCTCATAATGATTACCTAGTCACTTTCATAGATCAGATTCAAATTGTGTCTTTGGAGGAAGTTCTGTGATGTTCTGCTTTGAAAAAAAAAAAAAAAAAGCAAGGTTGGAAAACATGTAATGAAAGGCAGTTCTGTAGGCTGGCATTTTTACACTGTCTCTTGATATCTTTAAACACAGGCTCACTTCATGCACTTAAAATGTTACTCAATTTATAAAAAATTTATGGGCATTAATTTTTATTTAGAAAAAATTGATTAATGATCAACTGACCCTCTCTGATACCAGTATGAAAAGAAATCCTGATTCAAAATAGAGTAATCTAGCCTTCTGAGTAGAACAATAATTTATTTTACCACACATAGGTACTTAAATATATCACTTTTTTATTCTTTTAAAAAAGTAAATAATATGATAAAATGCATTTGAAACACAATCTGAAATAAAATGTGACAATATAATGGACAAAGACATCAATCTATTTATATGTGCAAATTTTAAAATTTGGCAAGCAAGTGGACTTCGATAAAATTTGGCACTAGCAAAATCTGTTTTATATTTAATGTTTTCTCATTTAGTGCATTTTCTATGCTGAATAATAGTAATGCCATTAAACAGTGTTATCCTATACTGTTCCTTAAATATACATATGTATTTTTG